CCCCTAGAGAACAGAAATCCATTAAATTAAGTCCCATTTTTACATAAGAATTTGCATTTCCATTGCTTTTTTTTCTAGGGCCATTCATACAATGTCTGGAGACATCCATACTACCCAACTCAAAAGACATAGCAAAGGGAAAAACTACTGGAAGGCTTGGCATAACTCCTACTGTGCTTTCATAAAAATGCAAATAGCATTCTAAACCTCTCAGATGGGTGCTATTGTAGAGAGTATAAAAGCTTTCAAATATTAAAGACAAAGGTCAATATGTGCTTTGCTGCTAGACAGGCCTGAGAGAGTTTAGAGGAGCACAGCCTTCCTGTTTTACCTGGCAGTTGGGTTTAATTGTTACTCAATTTCAAACCTACATGGGGAAAGACAGCAGCACACCAATGCTCCTCAAATCATGCTTTGAGAGGAATGAGTGCTTTCAGCTGCTATATTATAGTGTTATTTTATTACAAGGTAACTCAAGAGAAAAGCCAAATTAAGAAAAAGTCACGTCTCAGTTTAGTTCAATTATTCCCACCTCCCCCAGCACAAAAAGCCTGCAAGTCTTTTAATGCATCAACATACAAACGCCTTGTACATACAACATGTACAACAGTTGAGCCCTTCTATAACAAGTATCTACAGAAATATAAGTACATGATGCCTAACATTTTAGGAACAACATTTTGGTGCCCTCTTTTATAAAAAGTATCTGCCTGCCTTCCTTCCTCTTACTTTGGCTAGTTAGGAAAGGAAGATATAGTTACCAACTTTCTCCTCCAATTCACTGTACAAGTAATTTAAACATCTGTATGCAGGAAAAATTGAACATAACCAAACCAGTAAAATATCCTTCTGCAACACAAAAATTAGCAAGGAGGAGTTATTTCAAATGCAGTTGTAAATACGGAAATACTAAGATGACAATACTTCCTTGGCGTTGCTCTCAGTTTTAATAAAGAACCTACATAAAAGCTCTGAGCTGAAGGAGGAGACTTCAGGCTGCTGCAGTCACCATCTGCACATCCCAGGGAAAAACAACTAAGATAAAGGGACAAACATCCCGAGTGATATCAGTGGAGTTAAAGGGATCAATCTGTTTCACTTCGTTATTTAGTCAGGTCTCCAAGTGTCTTCCCAGCTTTTAATGTCAGTAAATAAACATTAAAAGTGCTTAATGTGCAAGGCTAATAGTGATGATAGCACTTTCACTGTTTTGTTTCATTTTGGTTTTGTTTTGTTTTTTCTCATTTTTTTACAAAAACCTTAAAAACAAACATGAAGGCATATATAAAATACACTTAGTTTATGTAACAGATAGAATATAAATCACCAGACAAGAAAAATTATTGCAAAATAGATGAGGATGTTCATTTTTTTCACTACCAAGTTGTAAAATATGGAAGTTTCCTTTAGCTCCTCTAAGACACTAGCTCTCACTGCTGGATGATGCAGATGTTATTTTCACATATTGGCTGAAAATTGTCTCAAAAGCTTCATCTCTGTGTACCATGGCACCAAACACCAGTGGCTAAAGGACAGAAAAGAAATCACATGTCAGTCCAGAGAGAAATATTTTCCTCTAGGCATAGTTTTGGCCAAGTCAACAGGAAAAGGTTAATTGCACTACAAGTGCATTAATAGACATAAGAATCCTTTTCTCTACTAAATCCTTGGCTATATGGCAGAGTTGGTAATATTTTTCACTTCCATATCTTCTTCCTAAACCAACCACGGCATAAAATGCACCTGGACAGAGTATGAGCAATGGAGAACAGTAACTCACTTTCCTCTCTGTCTCATTGGTACATGATTTCCTGATTGACCTCTGCCTTCATTTAAATTCTAAAAATCTTTATCAGTACCTTTTCATTTTGGTTCACAGAATGTTTACTTAGGTAGATTAACATTTGCAACCTCCTAATTACAAAGTACTTCTCAATATCAAACAGCAAGCAGAAAAACTCATATAACAGTCATATGACTTGGTGAAAAGTTAATTTGAAGTAAGGTTCAGACATATGTTAAGAAAAGCTTCAGTTGCCCAAAAGGTATCTGAGGATTGTAGACTCTTAAATCTTTAGCACCATAAGACTGAAACAGGGAAACTTCCACCCCAAATCTTCCTCACCCATGGATACCCTCAAGTCACTAGCTTTCTGTTTCAGACTGCAAAGAAGAGCAGTCCACATGCTCCTAATGAAGGATGCTGGGGAAAATCTTTCTGAAGTGTTTAGTAAGATGGTCCAGATGCAGTAGAACAAGCTAAATGTTTAATTCATTAAAATTCTGAAGACAAACATACTGAATAATAGACAAGTAAACTAAAAAAAAGGAAAAGCCTAACACTGGCATAAAGGGGGAAAAAAAAAGCCTTCATGCTGGTGCTAGCCAGAGAAGGAAGAAAAGAAGGGTATGAAGTCAAACACAGCAAGACAGATACAGCCAGCTACTTACTTTCTGTGTAGATGGTGTTGATACAGCAATACCCATCCCTGATCCCGGGAGAACAGAGAGCACTTTATACTAAAATGAAAAAAACCAAACCACAAAAGACACATTACATACTGGACAACTGCAAAAGATGCTGGAGAGGTTACGCAATTCAGCATGGGTATGACCTCCCAACCACAACTAAGAGAACAAGCTTAAAACCAAGATTAAGACCATTAAAACCAGGAAGAGGCCAAATGTCCTCTGATCCTGGACTCAAAGGGCAAAGCATCACCTGTACAGCCAGAACCTGCCTCTGCTTTCTCTCACACACCACAGTGACACCAACCCAGCCTGCTGGAACCAACCCTGGCCCCAAACCCAGCATCCTGCTCCCACTACAGCACGTGGGAGCTGAACCAGCTATGATGCCAGAGACCACTGCAGGCAGCAGGACAGCCAGGCAGGCAGCACACCCCAGCTCTGTGTATGTGTGCACCTGGGTGTGCCTGTGTGCATCCCCTAGGGGTTTCCATACAAGTAACATTCATCCAGTGTTTACAGGAGGAGCAAGCAGGCCAGAAGAAGCTTCTTTTTCAAAATGAGATAGAAAACCAGAGTATCACAGAGTCATAGCATCATTAAGGTTGAAAAAGACCTCCCAGATCTGAGTCCAACCTTTGACTGAACTCCACCATGTCAACTAAACCATAGCACTAAATGCCACATACAGCTTGCTTTATTTTTTTTTTTTGAAAGAAAATCCATGAAAATAAGATGGACTACAATTGGCTGAACTTGGGAATATTCAGAGGAAGGAAGGGACCCTCAAGTCAGACCTGTGCTTCCCACCTCAAAAAAAAACACTCCACATTTTTATGCTTAGCTGCATAATCCCTGCCTCATCTTCATTTAAAAAAACTACACAGATGCAAAAGGACTTTTATGGCAGTAAAGATCTACTAAACAACAACCCAGCAATACTTCAAGTATAATGCTTGAAATCCATTAATATGAATTACTAATTCCAACTGGAATGTTCAAGTTGAACTGTCTGCTCTATAGACACGTGATATAAACAGAAGGAATTAATTTGAAAACCTGGTGGTACTTAGGCAGTAGTGGACACCAGGCTGAGGTATTTCTTTGCTCGACATGCTTTAATCTGTGTCGCTCACAGCCACAGGATGTAGCAGAAAACGGGGGTGTCTGTCCTTACAATACAGACCAGTACAAAGGGGATAACAAAAAGTGATGTTAAATGCCATAGAGAGTGATGCAAGGCACCAATAAAGCCACTGGTAAGCACAGGCTGAAAAAACTCAGCCAGAAGAAAGATGACATTGTACTTGCCAAGCCTTCAACCATTCACTTCTTGCCTCTGTTACTGATGGGTCCTAACTAGATGAAACTCCAGCCCAACCCAGTCTGGCTATTCTAATGATCTACCTTTCTTCACTGACAATTTTTCCTCCCTCTGACACACCTGTTTTTAAGATGGTGCATGTGCCAATATCCACACCCAAAGTGAAGATGGTATTACACAACTCCTGCTACCAATAAATCATCTTAATGCCTGCACAGCTCTAGTCAATGCTGGAGTTAAGAAACAACACAACTTTAACTTTCAAATAATACAGGAGTGTATGGGTTTAGTAAACTATTTTGTCCTCTTGTTCATAGCAAGCTTGCTTGTGGTGAGCCCACGTGGCTAAACAAGCAGTTCAGGGAAATATCTGTGATAAAAGAATTACAATTTACTTATAAAATTATCAGTGGCATGCTTTTTCAAAATAACATAGGCAAAACATGACTAGCTAAAGAGAAAAGTAGTTTTCTCCCCTATTTGCAACACCAGCCAGACATACCTTCTGAATATCTGTTATATCCGTTAGCTTTATAACTTTGTTTCTTTTAGATGAGCCAGATTTTGAGCTTTCAAAGCACAAGTAACTGAAAAGAAGAAAAGAAAGCACTCATTTTGATACAGTATTCTAAACCAAACCTGTCAATAATCTTCCTGTCTCTTCTGAAGTTTGAAATCTCACAGGTTAAAATCAGCTTCAAAGTAAAAGAAAGACACACAACCTGCAATTCATGTATGGTTTCTAATTTAGAGCAAACGTTCATATATCCTAGTAACTGGTTAACATGTCTGAAAGCCCAGAACATATGTGATGCATACACACAGAGAGAAATTCTTGTATTTATATCACTGAACTGAATGGTTAAACCTGACAAGCATTTTAAAGACATGGGAAGAACACAGAACCTTAAACAGTTGAAATACCCAATTTCAAAAGGCTTATAAATCCTTTACTACCCAAAAAGAAGATTAATGAAAAACACTGTGTTAGTTTCATGTTATTGTGATGCAGACAAAAGATCAGATTTCTAAACGCTAGAGAGTGGTCTCCATCACTAGGTGACATTGCATACAGATGAGCTTTACCTCTTTCATCACACTCCAAAGGAACTTCAGTGCAAGACCCAAACAGTAATGACTGTAGTTATTCAGCCCAGGGAGGCTGGGAGGTAAGTAAGGATTAAAAAAAAACCCCAGCATAAAAATCAAGTACTGGATTTGAAACCAAGGCTTGAATTTCAATTTTCTTTTTGCTGCACATCATTTCAAGGAAGTTACATGTTCAGTTTGCTTTGAAGAAAGAAACTAAGAGTATCTGCCAAATAGCTGTTGGTCACAACTTTCAGGTTTCTTTTTATATATAGTTAGCATGGTATCCACATCAAGACTGCAGCTACCAACAAATGCCTGCATAGAGCTACTCTGCAAGACTTGCCAAGGCAAAATCACATTTGTTAAGCACTGCCACATGCCAGATTCAGCTCTCCCTCCACTATGGTGCTTTCTTGACATTGTAAAACACCTTGAAAAGGCATTTCTGTTTCAAAACATTGTTAAAGGATCACTTTTAGATTCAAGTTCTTTCATGTGTTGCATTTCCCTCCTAAGAAACTCGTAGAGTGCAATGACTCACTTTTCTGTGACATAAAGAACTCCATTCCTGATGTAGTCTGTAGGCATCTTCCTATCTCTGTTAATCAAGCAACAGCGCCAGCCATTTTCACACACTGCAAAAGTTGTAACAAGAAATCTTAGATTAAGAAAAAGAACAAGAGAGAGGCACTACCCCTAACAGTTTCCTCATAAAACAGAAAACACTGAAAATTAAACTTTAGATACTTAAAACTAGAAGTGCCTAGAAAGAAAAGTCTAAATAAGATGGTTTTAGACATCATAACATCTGTTTTAACACTCGATTTAAAAAAACTAAAAACAAAAACTACCCACACAATTATTCCCTTTAACTTGACTACTGGATTTGCATAACCACAAAAGGCACACCAGGCTGTGCACTCTTTCAAAGAGCTGCAAGCATGTGGAATGAGACGGTCTCCATTCATCCTAATTTAAGGGGAGACCTTTTTAACCAAAGGCTCACACCTATACGACCCACAGTAAAGGAATTCAACTTGAAACTGTCCTTGTCTTTTTACAAAATACTCTACTAACATGGCCCTCCTGTGCCAGAATACCTGCCAAAGGACGTTCATTCTCTGACAGGTTAAAAACTTCATGGAAATTCCCCCTCTTGGTGGTATGAAAACGACTTGTGTCTTCATCTTTGCTTATACCAGTTGGGGCACTTGATCCCACGTAACTTCTGGATGCTGCTGTTTGAAGCTGCAGAGAAAGAAACACGATTCCAAAATCTGAGCAGCAACATTTAAGCTTCACTCTTAAATACAATTTGTCTAACTACTACTTCTAAAAACAAATCTATAATGCAACAATTTTCATTAATTTCTAAAAACAAAATAAATCTATAATGCAACAATTTTCATTAACTACTTCAATAAAATTAACTTTGGACTACTGCACTATAGTATTGCTATAGCATAAGCCCCTAATATGGTACCTGAACGTAACCTTTCGAAGTGCTGCCCTTTGATGGACACCCTTTGCAGGGGTGAAGCACATGGTGCTAAATGCACCTATCTTACAACATCATTTTTCTACAGTCAAGGCTGTATCTGATTAGATACAGCTAAGTCACTGCACACAGCTCCAATGGTTATAACTAGTGGTATTACTATCAGAAAATATATTATCAGTACTTGTCTTCAAGGGATAGGCAAAATATTACTGCACAAAATAAGTTTAGAAAGAAAAAAGAAAAAACAAAGAAAAAGCCACACAAAACTGCATAAAGCTCATTATGAATACAAATGCTGAAATTGAAAGGAAGTTTTCCACGCTATGATCCATACCTTTTCATGCCCTGACAGCTAGCAGGAAAAGAAACAAACAACACAAATGTGACAGTGACAAAAGAAAAAAAGTGAAATCTATTTAACAGTATAATACATAGAATAAAACATGAACTGAGTGACACTGCAAGATCTTGCTCACAAACCAAGAGACTACACAATGAATGCAATTTAAAAAGACTCATCAGTGGTTAGAGCACACCAGTTCAATTTATTCAGGTTGTGTTAGAGCCATTGATCTTTCCTTTGCTTTGAAGCTGCATGGAATTTTGAGAGTGTTGACACATGAAATAAAATCTGAATGGTTGTCAGCATCCTTGGGGGGGAAAAAGGTAATGTGGAGTTCCCAAAACCAAAGTACTTGAGTAAAATCTACTTTTACACAGAGCTCCTGAAACACTGGAGATTGCCCTAGCAACAAACGTTGCTTCTGGAAGGCCAGCAGCTAGTTTCTTTTTGAAAACTTTGCCTGCATTGGCTCTTTCATCTTGGTGGGGCAGCACACAGTTCCAAAGGCTGGCTGGCTCTTGTCACTGAGGCATTAGCAGCTCCATTCTTAGCCCTACCATACACAGGCAGTTAAACAACTGGCAAACTGCCAGCACGAAACCTCAGCACTAAGCTCTTCTTCTGTAAAGGCCTAATGCTGCTGGAGGCCAACCAGCCTCCACTGCTTTTTTACTTTTTGCACCTAAGTTGGCAGCACTCAACATGTTGCAGGACTTAGCCCTAACAAAAGAAATTCAAAGCATACAAAAAAAATGTGCACTGCAATTGCTAAATAGAAGCCAGACTGGCAAAACAGGCACAGCAGAGGTTATCTGCCATACAGCTTTTAGTGTAACTGTAATTATAACGATGCCTCAGGGAATAAAAAATAAGGAAATTTGACATGGAAAATAAATGGCTGATGCCACTCTAATATTGCCTCAGTTACTGTCCTGCTGTGGTGCTCTTATCAATAATTGAGTCCCTGGAACCAAGGAAAATAACAGCTTCTCCAACAATCTGTGTACAAGTAAAGATGAGAAGAACTTCTTGAAGGCCTTCTCTGACAAGTTATTTGGCTGCACATGCACATAACCAGGTGAAGCTCCATGGCTCAAAACATGATAAAAAAAGATCAGGGCAAGAGGTCTAATGCTTTTTGTGCAGGAATAAGGACCATTTCTACTCTCTGCTACACTGCTTCCTACCTACCTGTTATACAAAGAGATGAAAAAAAAAGTTTAAACTTCAGTACCACACCTCATCCAGTGGCTGAAAACGTGAGAAAGTTCTGCCCTTATTCGAGTCCTGCCTAACATATGCAAATGTTCCCTCAAACCAGTAAGGCTTGAGACACCCATGGTCATTTCCCAAGAGAAAAGCATTGCATCCAATTCTGATAAGTATTAAATCTAACTGGAAGTAATTGTATTTGTAATGCTGGAAGAGTCCTGATTGTCTAAAAATGTCACTAACAACCTGGAGGTAGGTATATCTGGAGGTATTCCTTTTCACTCGATCTGTCATCAGCTTTTGACATACAACCTTTACCCATCAGATACTGTTGTCAGGATTATTCTCTCAGGACACAGGGTCAGTGTGGTGGTATAGGCAATGAATATTGCATTGTGTCTAGGTTTACAGTGTCTTGTATGCTGCTTAATGATAAGAAGCCAAACCTAAAGCACACAAGCTGGCCCTACAAGCTTTGGGACTCGGCCTTTTCTATGAAAAAAATTAAAAACCTGTTTGGTTTTTACTTTTTTGTACAAAACTATTTTTCATCCCGTGAGGTTCGCAGGAATCTCTCAAGGGGTTAGAAAGTTTGTTTAAAATTACTGAGATCAAGTTAGTGCTTTCAAACACATTTAGAAGCAGGTAATGCAGTCCTGCACATCCTTTCCAGGCAGTCGAGCCAAGCCCACCAAGCCAGACAGAGTAGCACAAAACCCCTGGTCTACTTGTCAAAGCTTAAGCCATGAAGAAAAGCCAGAAGGAATAATTACACTTTAAGTTTATGGATTCAAGTCCAGCAATTCAGAACTTTTCCACCTCTAGGGTACAACAGACAGACCCAACAAGAAGCTGTCACAACCACCACAGTATGTGAAAGATAACCTGTAAGCTCAAGAAACACAGAAACTTTTAAGCCCATCTTCTGCAAGCAAGAGAAATAGAGGCCATGAATGGCTTCATCCAAGTGCTCATTTACCCCTCTCATCCCTTGGAAAATAGGAGCAAAAGACTCACTTTCTGTCATAGACTGTTCTGCTCTCCCACTTCCTTCTGAAATACTCAGATTATGCTGCAGTTATTTTACCACCAACTGCTCCATCACTCCACCCCCAGAGCCCCAGATTTCTTCTTCTTCACAACACGAAAACTGAGGGATCATGTGCTCTCCAGTTGTATACTCAGGCTGAATTATTGCTCAGTGCTGCACATTTAAGTCAGGAAGCTTATGACAGTACTCAAGATACTCCATGAATGCAATTAGATATTGTGCTAAGAGGCATTAAGCAAATGCAAAAGTGGGATTAGACTGAAGTTTTATTACAACTATTTTCATTTTTAAACTAATATACATTGGCAAATTCAGGGATATGGGAAAGCATGACTGGCTTCTCAGTTAACATCTCAGGCTCCAAAACAACTTACCAAGATGCACAAAACACAACACTTAAATCTTTAGCTATGACATTTTAACAAAAAGAAAATATACTGTCGGGAGTACCAACATGGGGAAAAGTAATTTATCACCACTATGCTAAAATGTCATCCAATAGAAATAACTATAAGACGTAATGGCTAAAATCTGTAAACTACTTTATTACCTCTGCTAATGCTTAGCCCATTAGTAAGCTGCATATTATACTCATGCCTTGATCTATTTTTTCAACTAACAGCTCTTCAATTTATTTAAGCATCTGAATTTCCACTGAAAAAGAATATCTAAGAATAGAGAAGGTGGATACAAAAAGACTAGATTCTGACAATAAAATCACAGAGAATGCAAGTTAGAGAAACTGGTATGAATATGGATGGTGTTATATTTGTGTGTTTGATTCGTATGATTCACAGTATACATATATACACACATTTTTGATAACCGACTCCTTTCATACAAGAAACAGAATCCATAGAAAAATTATGCACCTTGAAAAGAATCAAAAATAGAACTAACATTGATTGTTAGGATTTAATTAACCTTCTCTTTAATGTGCTCTAGTCACTGGAGAAAAAGGAAAGGGAGAAAGGGATCTGATTTTCAGATGCTGGGAACAGAGGGGCAAAAAGATGTATTACCCTTACCCGTCTTGACACTGTGGCATTAGATCTTTCTTTGAGCTGAGGATCTGTTGGGAGACTTGTCCAGATGATATAAGGAGTATCATACTTAGCTCTTAGTCTGGGGCATCGTTTGAAGATAAAATCAATAAGGAAAAACTTGATTCCAGCATAGAGTCCTGAAAAAAGGTCACTTCAGTATGCAAGAGGCATTAAGAACATCACTGTTTTGATCACGTTTTAATGAGTTCATGAATGAAACCAAATTCTCTATCTTCAGTCACAGTGTTAAATAATTCTTTTGGTTTTACTATTTTGGTTCTTCTTCCAAAGACAGAAAAATGTTGGGGTTTTTTCCTCTCTCCTGTCCAGATCCTTCCTCTCCATCCCCAGTTCTTCTATACCACTTACACAGCTGCTATTATGCAGAACAGCATTAAAATAATTCAAACTAAGTTCCTTACTACCAGAAGCACTCTGAAAACATGATATACTTCCAAAACAGAAAGCACACCAGAGCATTCAACCCTGCAGCTCCTGCAAGAATTTAAATGGCAACAGAGGGCTCTCACGTACTACATAAAACTTTGTCTTGCAGTCCCTCCTCTTATCTTATACATGTTATTTCCTTGCATTCTGCCAGATTAAAAAGGGCTTAAAATACTCTCTCAGAACCTGAGTGGAATTCAGATCTCCTAAGAGCCAGATTAAAACGTAATTCCTTGCACAGCTAATTCAATTGCTGTGTCAAACAAACCTACATTTATGTTCAAGCTAACACAATCTGAAGTTCAGAGCCAGTAATACTCATTTGATTGCATCATTATTTTAGTGAAAAATAATGAGAGTTCTTCGTTCACAGTACAAGGCTTCATACCTTAGAAAAAAGATATGCTCTAGTGAAAACTCTCATTTCCCAATTCCCAGCTGAGACCAAGTATCTGACTTCACCCACAGTAATCTATTAATTTTTCCCAGCCTTCCCTTCAAGTTTTACAAGCAGTTCCACTAACTCTTTCATTTTATTCCTACCCATCTTCATGCCTTCTGTGTCATGACACATATTTCATTTCAAAGGATGTATAAGCAAAAAACCTCAAAATGTAGGACTTAGAGCTGACAGTCAGAAGAGTTCTGCTAACAGCTCATCATAAACTTCTCCTCTTCAAGAAGCAAAAGCATTATCCAGTCTTCTTCCACTATATATAGAGATGGTTTGCGAAATGCTCATGACAAACAATGCCAAGCACAAAAAAATACTTTAAAACACTGCATTTTTTATTAACGCAGGTTTTCTTTCTTAAACTCTAAAATTCTCTCTCTAAAGATCACCTAACTTTTAAGTTTTAAGTCTAGACTGTAAAAAGTCAATTGTTTATTGCACTTACCCATTCCAAGCCCAATAATCCTGTAGGGCAAAAAGCAGGATGCAATAAAAGCTGCCCACAGAGCAATGTAGAGCTTCTGTGTTATTTCTGGCTGGACCCACATGAACAAGCTGAAAGCAAAAAAGAAACAAAATTTTGTTACCAGTGTTCCAGACATTGGTCAAGTCTTGTTTTAAGAGGGAAAAAGGACTTATGTCATATAACTTACTTTTTAATTTTCTCCAGTATGTCTGCCATCTTGCCAAAAAGGTTCTGTGTAAGAAACAAGGGAATTAAATCCAAGCCTTGCACTGTTTTAGTTTTTTTTGTCCACATAATGGAAACCAACAGTTATCTTACTCTGCTGGTAAGCAATTGCCAGCAGTGATTTTTTTAAACAAATTTTCAGCCATTTATATACTTCACAATTGAGTAAATACAGAATAGAACAGCAATACTCAATGACTTCCCTCTCACTGAACACCTTGATCTGTAACTTGTGATTGACTGTTAGAAGTGAAGAAACTATTTGATCCCACTGTCACCACTGGAAAGCATTTACATCACTGCAAATATTTTAAATTAAGCTGTCAATCTAAGAGTTGGGAGCTTCTGCCAGTAGGTAACAGAATGGGAAGTTTCTTCACTGAAATTTCAGGAAGTGGTTACTGAGTTCATCACAAGGACTATCAGGCTCTTGGAAACAGACCACTATCAGGTTTTTACAGTAAGTCCCTGGAGCTACGAGATTCTGTGTAATTCCAACATTTGATGCAACTGACCCCTGCTCAGGACTAAGGGCCACCTTCTCTGACCAACCCTTGCTGTCAGAGCACCTAAAAACTTCACCTTCCCAATAAATTTCCAAAGGTGTTCATATAAACATATTCATTGCCACCAGCAGAAGGAAGGAGCTGAGCATACACAGTTGGCAAGGGAAAGTTAAGCCCCTTGCAACAACAGCACATGATCAGACACAGCACAAGGCTGCAGTTTAACTGGATGGTGCAGTCACTCAGCTGCTACCTCATCAAACTGATGGTGCTGGGAGAAAACCTTCCTTCAGCCTCTCCCACATAAGCAGATTTCAGGGCTTGGAGGGGGTGGTGGTTTTAAAAACATGCTATTTTAGAGATGCAGTGCAAACTGTTGAATTAACACAGCTAAACAGACGGTATCCTTCAGCTAAATCTTGAAGGAATGGTCTCCTACACCAGTTTTGTGACTAGCAGATTTGGGACATGGATCCACACTCCAGTACACTGGTAAGATTCACCACCCAATCAACATTATCAGAAGCCCATAAGCATATATCGGATCCACACTCCAGCACACTGGTAAGATTCACCACCCAATCTACATTATCAGAAGCCCATAAGCATATATTAGGGGGAAAACTGCCAGGAGCTGATTCTGCTCCCCTACAGAGCTCTGAGCTGTGACCAGAGAACCTAAACCAGTTCCCTGAAGCATCATGCCATTTTAGCAGGTCCAGGAATCTTAATGAGATCTCTGTTGCTCCTTGGTAAAGATCTCTATGCAAGAAACATATTGCTTCTCTGAGTATTTGTTTTCACATGCTGTATAAAAACATCCTTTGACCCCTCGGACTATGAACCTCCTTGTTTCTAAGGAAGCAGCCAGAGGCCTGAGAGTAGCACAGTACCTGTGCCTTCTGAGCCACATCTAGAACAAGCTGAAACTTTTCAGACACGGTCAGGTCCTCTTTTGGGGGTTCCTTAGGTAAGAAAGAGACAATCCATTAACTTTGTTTCAGATGAAATGTATTTTACAAAACTCCTCAGAACAAGGTGACCTCTCAACATTATTGGCAATAGTCCTCTCACTTTAAATAGTCTCTAAATTTACCAATTGCCTCCCTTGTTTTCAATCTGCTGTTTACGCCTTTCATTGCTGGTTATTTTTAATTTTCAATACTTTTCCTCCTTGGTACATGCAAAAATATTAATATGAGTCTCTGAGAGACGCAGCAAGTCTTTAGAGCAGCACAGTTACAATGGCTTTCAGTCTATGACCACACATTTACAGGCCTGTCAGCCTGAACCTGGTGCCAGGGAGGATTATGGAACAGATCACCTCATGCATCATGTACAGGACAACCAGGGGATCAGGCCCAGTCAGCATGGGATTATGAAAGGCAGGTCCTGCTTGACCAACCTCTTCTCCTTCTGTGACAGGGTGACCCACACGGTGGATGAGGAAAAGAATGTTGTTAACTTGGAGTGAAAGAGAAAGACATTGAGGTGCTGGAGCACGTCCAGAGAAGGGCAATGGCACTGGTTAGGGGTCTGGAGCACAAGACTTATGAGGAGCAGCTGAGGGAGCTGAGGATGTGTAGCCTGGGGAAAAGAGGGCTCAGGAGACCTTATTGCTATCTGCAAATACCTGGAAGGAGGTTGTAGCAAGGTGGAGTTTGGTCTCTTCTCCCAGGTAGCAAGTGACAGGTCAAGAGGAAATGGCCTCAAGTTGTGCCAGGGGGGATTTAAATTGGATATTAGGAAAATTTGGTCATGAAAAGGGATATCAAACATTGGAATGGGCTGCCCAGGGAAGTGCAGTCACCATTCCTACAGACATGTAGATGTGTCACTTAGGGACATGGACCTGGACTTAGTGACAGACCTGGCAATGCTAGGTTAACAGTTGGACTTGATGGTCTTAAACAAAACAGAACACAAGGCTGCTTGAAGATCCCACAGGACCTAACTTGTCCCAAGCTGATATATCAGCATTTATTTAAGAAATGTGTTTCAAGTTGGGAATACTTTAGGGTGAAGCACCTGAACCTAAATGTGCTGCTGGTAAAGATTTCTAAATCACAAGAGAAAGAAAAAAAAAGTAGTATCTTTACTTGCACCTCACTCTTCCTTCCTTTCACAACTACCCACACAGACAGAGGAAGGTTTAAAGGTGCAATTTTTATTGTAGTTGTACATATCAAGCTGATCAAAAACCTACCACAGGTTCAGAAACTTCAGGCACAATGCTCCACTGTATTCTCCAACCCCTAGAAGTTACGGAAATAGTTAAAGAGAGCAAGTACTCCTTCTCCGCTTGCCAAATGGATTATTTGTAAAAGGTTAAAAAGTAGTTTCCTGCAATATGCATTTATGGCTTAAAAAAATATCAATATAATACCCAAATGAACAAAGAACCCACAACATAAAAGCACAAGTGAACAAACACAGCTTTGAAGGTATATAAATTTAAAAAAATTAGCTAGATAGATACTGCACAGAATCACAGTTCATGGGTCTTACAACAAAATTGAATGGTGTTCATGGAGTAAATTATTAGGAATATTTTTTCTTGAGGCTTTTTTTTTCCCATGTGAACAAAATTATATCAACTTATTCAGGAGTCTATTTGCTACCAGCAATTTTCAGAGAATACAATGTCAACAGTAAGGATTGATTAATAAGTCAGAAAATTATTTTTAAATAAGCATGTTAAGGCATTCTGCACCATTTTAAGGGGAAAAACCAGTCCAGAAATCTCACACACACAAAAATTTTCTTAATTTTTAAAAGAGAGTGAATTGACAAATGGAAGATACTTTGCATATAGTATGGCAAGAGCTACTGAAAAAGGCAAAATTGCAATTTTAGGCCTAGGTGCAAATTCTCTCCAGGGAAAAGCAGCAGGTTCTTTTAAGGTGATGATCTCCAAGTGCTCTAAAAGCTGCAGAATTTCATTTTGGAACTGTAGTGAGGGGTTTGTCTGACAGCATGCAACATGTTTTATGATGAATCAAGTCACAAGACACAAAGATAATTCCCTAGAATAGTAAAAAAATCATAGAAACTGAGTAAAGCTCTTAGAGTTTGAAATTCACTTTGTTAGACGTAACTCACAACATTAGAAAAGGTAACAGTTTATAACTCAATGCAAGAATAATAAAACATCTTTCAAGCAAAGCATGACAAGAGAATAAGCTAGTATTTAAGTAAATACCTGGCTATGAGGTAATTTAGGGATAACCTCAAAATTGCTAAAAATAAGAACATAGGAATGGCCCAGCCATGCCATACAGCATTCATGTAAATCTGCAGATTAAGAAGAAAAAACAAACAAACAAAGAGAGATGCGGATTACAAACTGGGGTACAGTGAGTTGCATGAAATACTGTTTCCCACTGGGCTGTTGGGCTCAGAATCGTGCACTTCATATGAAAAAAATGACTAAGTTTTAGCCACCCCCTGACTGACAACAGCCCTGCATTCATGAGTGTAAAGTCAAAACTAAGAATGAACCAAATCTCCGGAGATGATGCTTAACGTTCTCTGCTGCCAGAGAGAGAGTATTGAGTTTTTCCAACACTACAGTAGAGGTAGAGGGAAAAACAACTACAATACATGTACAATACAACTACAATAGGGGAAGGGGAAAAAATGTAAATCCTAAAGTCTGTGAATCAGCTGTGACCATGATATGGACAGCAATGGTACAGAAGCAGTAGTATAGAAGGCTTATAACGATTAGCCCCACACTGTGCAACAGGATAAACTCTTGCTCTGTTATTTCAGGTCAATAAAATACCAAAGTTTTTACCAAGGCTAAAAAGATTGCAGGAAAACTGGTTTTATTTCATGTAACAAGTACAAAGAGCTTCAAAAGGTATTCTGTTCCTTTCCAGGCTTCTGAAAATAGAGACTACAGTCTCTCTGTGAGAGACACTATGTTTTTAACTGATAAGCCCAAAGTGAAGCATCACTCTGGCTCCCAGGTCCCAGAGCTTTCCAAAAAAACAGCTCAAGTTTCTTTTTCCAGCTTTTATCTGAAAAATAGGTTTACCAGGAGAGGCAAGAGAAAAATCAGCACATTAGAAGGGATAGAGACAGGGCACAGGGAGGGGGAAGTCTCCTGAATATTCTCTCAGCTGTGCCATGCAAAGTAGCATAGGCTCTACAACTTACAAGGAGGAATTATTTAATCAAAAAATGTGTGACATTTTCACCAGACAGGTTCATTCAGCTACAACTATTAGTAAAACTTTTGATAGGAAAATATTTCATATACACTGTGACCAAAAGAATGTAGATAATTAAATTAACAATTAAAAGGAAAACACATCAAAACTCCAATAAATACTTATGTCTCTTTGCAGCATCGAAACCTCCTTAGTTAGCATGGGAATGCTTGAATTTAGCTCATGGACCTGATATCGGCACACTGAATCAAGGCATTTTGCCTCTCATCACTAGGATCCTAACAAATGGCAAAGAGAACTGATAG